CGTTGCAGTTTCGGGGGTCCGCAAGAAGGTCGCAAAGAACTAAGAAAACATTTTAGGAATGCCCTAAAAGCGTGAATGGTGGAGGAGCAGGTGACGAACGCACTTCCAGGGCATTCTTCTGGGTAACTATGATCGACCATATTATTTCCTCTGCTGAATCACGATCTTCTGGGGCTTTACGTCCCAGAGCGTTGAAGATCCTATCGTTGATTTCGACATGCGCTCCAGACGTGACCTTAAATCGGGATGTCTTGCCGCGCTGCATTTTCTTCTTGTTCGCTTTGCTTCGGCCTCCGCTTTATCAAGGTACCCCTCTCGCAACAACTTGAGGAGATCTTCTAACAATGCAGGTGCTATTTCGATATCGCGTCGATAGCCATCAAGGCGTTCAGGCCTTTGGTCAGAATGATACGGGAGTCGAGGGAGTGACTCCGAAAGTCGAAAGAGGACCCGATAACCAAGAGAGGCCCGAAATTCACCGGCATCCGAAGGAAGCCTATCAAGAATATACTGCGAGACAGCTTTGTAACTTTCTTCGCTGACGGCTGTGGTGGTCGTCAGCAGTCATTCAACGCCGGAACGAACACGAGCTACAGGACATGATAAACTCGAAAACATAGGGATGTTCAGGTTGAAGGGAGCACAGGATTATAGGGCCGATTGACTCGTCATCGAGGGAACCCTCCAAAACATCTATTGCTACACTGATGCTGTCTTCGGTAGCGAGACGGGATGGGCGGAAGATGTTGAGGCCAGCTAAGAGCTGTTTGTGTACATCTGCAGAAAGTTCTGGGGATTGAGACATGGTAAGGATGAAAGTAGGATGGGAATGGGCAAGAGGGGAGAGCGGCCAAGATATAATCCAGGGCAGTGCCACTGCGGAGACGGCCTCGAGGACGACGTTGGATGAACAGCTCAAGAAGCATCCTTTCAGGTCTCTAGGGCGCAGGACGCAAGGGGACTACCATTTTGAGGGTCATTCAGCGGCTGAAGCTCGCTCAAGCGCTGAGGTTTCACAGGATGTGGCGAGCCGATGTTGCGGCAGAGCAGAACAAGAGCAATCGAGATCGTGACCATGACCTGCAACTGCACGTTGTCTTCTGTTGAGAGCAAAACGAGAATCGAACTTGACCGTTCAATTGCAGTGTTGCGCTTGGTGCCACGACAGTTGGTGTGCGACTAGGAAGCGCTAGAAGCCGGGGCGAAGATCAGATAGAGACCATGTGTCGGAAGATCCGTATCATCCCTTCAATTCCACAAATGCCCCATAAGTGATACGGGAAAGTGACTGCGCAGCACTTGCTCGTGGCGACGGTGAATTGAAAGACAACAAAAACGGAATTGCCAAAACGGAGTCTCCGGGCCGGGTATGCCGCCATATGGCCTGGATGTGTAGTGCGTTGACGGCTTGATGACATCCACACCAGACGTTCCCCTTCCGGTTTTTTCTCTCCCAATCCCCTCTCAACCGTCTATTCCACCCACCTTATCATATGTTTCACATCGCACCGCACACACACCATTGGTCATAGACAACGGCTCTACCAACTTGAGGTTCGGCTTCGCCACCTCTACAACACCCCAAGTCGCGCCAAACATAGTCTCAAAATATAAGGAGCGGAAAGCTGGGAAACAACTTCTTCTGTTCGGAGACGCGGTGGATGCCGAGGGCGGTGCTCGCTCGCAGGCTAAAACACCATGGGAAGGCGACGTGCTACTCAACTTTGACGCGTTGGTGAGCACGGCTTGAATTGGGGAGTGAAAGCCATTTTATTTATTCGTGATGAGTAGGAACACGCGTTGGACTATGCCCTTATCCATCTCGGCGTCGACACGCCAACGGTCGACCATCCCGTGATCATGACGGAGCGACTGGCCTCACCCCTGCATTCGCGAGCTCGTGAGTCCTTTCTCCCTCGGACGTTCTCATGCTTATTTGTTTTCAGTGACATCGGAACTCATGTTCGAGTTATACTCTGTCCCTTCTCTTGCATATGCTGTCGACGCAGCTCTCTCTTTCTATCAAAACAACCTCCCATCGCCGTCATCTTCACCATACACTGCCAGCGGTCTTGCGATATCATTCAACACCTCGTCCACCTCCGTCATACCAGTTCTGAAGGGGAAGGGCATCATGAGTCAAGCTAAACGGTACGCTCTCTACTGGCTCATCGTACTGGGTGTTCTTTATTTGATCTTAAGTCACATAGCATCCCGTGGGGATCCCAGCAAGCATCCGAATATCTCCTCAAGCTCGTCCAGCTTAAATATCCAACTTTCTCAACGCGAGTAACAGCTGCTCATACGAATGTTCGTCCCAATGTCTTCATACCAGTCGTTGTTTAGCGATGCGCGTCTATAGTGGATCCTACACTCTTTCTGTGAGATGTCTCCAGATTATACCGCGCTCCTTCGGAGCTTGCGCGATCCGCTGCAATTACGTGCCGTGGAGCGAATCATACAGTTTCCGTTCGTTCTTCCTGTTGCAGATGAGCGCACAGAGGAGGAAGTCGCGCGCGCAACAGAAAAGCGGCGCGAGCAAGGCAAAAAATTACAAGAAATGGCAGCTAAGGCACGCCTTGAAAAGGTGCTGTCGCCCAATACGCTTTACTGTATAGCCGTTTATGAAGGTGTCGACGTTACGAACAGCTTGTGCAGAAGGAGAACGACCTACAATACTTGACGAACCTGAAGGAGCGCCGAGCAGAGGAGACCAAACGGGAATGGCAAGTGTGTGCTTTTTCTTCTGGCTTCTCGTTAGATTTTTGCTTACTACAGATCGTGATCACAGAATCTGCTTCAGTCGGAAGGTTTCAATGACGATGCTGCCCTCGATCAAGCTATCAAGAAGCTCGAAGCCGACTTGAAAAAGGCACGGAAGAAAGCTGCCAACGACAGCGACGAGGTCACGGTGAGTATCCATTTCCTTATCCTCTGAGTTGTGTTGACTATTCTTTACTGCAGGAAGAGCCGTCCTTCCCGCTCGTTGACACGCCCGATGATCAGGTATGTGCCCCTAAAAGACCGCTCACGTGATCTGAACCCAGGTTCCCATAGCTCGACGAAGACAGTTTGAAAGAAAAGAAGAAACAAAAACTCCTCAAAGCCGGATTTGAAGCTCGCGCACGGGCCCGGCGTGAGAAAGAAAAGGCGTTCGAGGAGCGTGCAGCGGAAGAGCGTAAGGAGGACGATGAGCGGGCTGCTGACCCATCTGCGTGGGTTACCCGTGTGCGCGCCGAGCACGCTTCCGTCATGGAACGCATCAAGGAGCGTAATAGGCGAAAAGCCGCACTCGGCGACCGGAAGAGCGCCGCGTCACAAGCACGGATGAAAAGTATAGCTACTCTTGCTGCCGACGAACGGGTTGGAAAAAAGCGACGGAAAGGTGGTGGTGGTGCGTGTCTCTGTCATAACATGTGAGCCTCTCAGCACGCTTAGTATCTTATGGTATAGAGGATATGTTTGGCGCGGACGACGAGGACTGGGCTATCTACCGCAAGATTGTAGCTATCGCCCACATTTCTGTCATCCCTGTCACGCGCTGATTTTCTTAGAACACCGCAGCTGTATCGTCAGACGAAGAGGATGACATTACGCAGTTACAGACAGTCGAGCAAAAGCTTCTCACACACGACCCAACATTTGGGATCGAACAGACACACGCCGCGCTCGCCTCTCAACGATCAGCGTTTATGTCCGCCTTCCGGCCGCAATATATAGACGGCGATGTCGAAGGTCTGCCTCCTCGTCTTCCTTTACAGATGCACGGGATATGGAGGAATTAACAATTCACGGCCGTAGGTCGCGCGCGGATCCATTTGAGTATCGAGCGCTGGCGAGTTTGCGAAACCTGGTTCGCGCCGAGTATGGCAGGCGTCGACAGCGCCGGACTCGGCGAAGTCCTCCAGAATGTCCTCGCATCTTTCTCTACGGACGACCGCGGACTTCTCGTCCAGGTACGCTACCCCACCCTTTCCCTCTTCCTCTTCCCTCTCTGTCCTTGTCTTCCAGATGCTCACTCACCCTCACCATCGACCCCATGCCAGAACGTGTTCTTAACTGGTACACCAGCACAAATGCCCGGCCTCTCGGACCGCCTACACGCGACGTTGCGGCCGATCCTCCCGCCAGAAATGCGGCTGCGGATTGTGCGCGCGGCTGACCCATCGTTGGACGCGTGGCGCGGTATGGCTGCGTTTGCGCAGACGGAAGAATTTTCGCGCGTGGGCGTGACTAAGGCTGAATATGAGGAATGGGGCGGAGAGCGCGTGCGTCGGTGGTGGGGCGGGAACTGGAATGCGAGCGTGGTGTGAAAAGACGGCGTGGTGTGTGACTTGTTCAGCTTGCTCCCAGACTAATTGTCGGGCTGCGTGTGTAGATTCTAGTTTTTGTTGTTTTTGTTTACAGATAAACTGGTTTCTTTCTGTTGTACGGGTCGAAACAAGTTCAAACTTTTTCTCACGGCGCGGCGCCGCACCAGGCGTCACCTCGAAATCTTCACTTACTTCTGTTGTGGCAGAACGATTGGAACCATGGAAGAGGCTCGGTGACAGCGAAACCATAAGCCTAGTGGCACGCAAGGTTTAGGAAAAGAGTATAGAAGAGAAAGCGGGCGCATCAACGTCTGGTCACCGCTTTTTACGGCATAATGATTAGCAATTGATGCTATCCATTGATCACCTTCGCTCTCTTCTCATTACTCAGCTTCTGAGTGTACAGCATGATATTTTCATTGTGTTGAATGGACGAATTTAGGGTCGGCTGGACCACATGCCTAAATGGTTCGCTACTCGCGACCACTAGTAACTGTCAGGTGGGTGGGCCCACCTACGTTTTTTGACATAGTGGCCACTGGTACGTATCGTGCTCCGACTGCCTGTGTGTCGGCCACGCCTAGCTTAATCGTCGGCCCCTTGAGAACTTCGGTTTCATCTGTCCCTTCCTCGGCGAAGTTATTAGGAGCAGTTGCATCAATGCAAAAGCCGCAAAAAAGAACGACTAGCCCACCGCGAGGGTCGAACTCGCAGCCTTCAGATTATAATTGAAGTGACCGTGCACCCGCTATAAGAGTCTGACGCTCTATCCGATTGAGCTAGGCGGGCGGTTGCGAATGAATCCCATTGGGGTTACAAGAGGGTACAGGCCCGGGCGCACAGTGAGAGCGCTGAGGACGAGGTCGCGCCACTCTCGTTATACTGTCTGTTATGCTAGCAACCAGGCCTAGCCACGTAACACTGCAGCAGAACGGCCCTTAGGTTTCGCCGGTTGATCACTTGCGAGTAAGTTTTTTTCCGTTTTCTCCGTTTTCCTGATGGGAAGTCCACCCCCATCGACTGACCAACGCGATTTGTCGGCGACACTGGGCTTGATGGAAGCACATCCATCATCTCATGTTCGGACTCAGTCGACGGCCCTGGGTCGGCAGCGCATGTACCCCCCATCAATCTATGATCCGCGGAGGACATTGTCGACAACTCTGGGCCCGACTGCCAGTGTGGCACATCCCCCTTCATCAGCTCATATCCGGACGCTGTCAATGGTACTGGGATGTCATTGAGGTGCATGGCCCAGTGACGCCTCTTCGGTGACAGACGGTAGCGATTGCTCCAAGTCCGTCCACCCATAAGCGGGCCCTGGGGGGCCGAGCTAACGAGTCTTCCGGTTTTCCAAAAAGATGGTCCGGGCCGGACACTTGCGAGGGCTCTTCGGGATAGACGGCAGCGGTTGCCCGACGTCCATCGGCCATCAGTGGGCCTCGGGGGCAGAGAGCTCGGTGACGGATGTGCGGCTGACAACTCCTCCGGCTTTGGTTAAAAATGGCTCTCGGGGTAGCCGAGGAGCTTAAGCCACAGAACAGCCCGGGATAGACAGTAGCGGTTGCATCACCTAGGCTCGGCATTGCATGTACCTGGCCGCCGGACACTGGCAACGGCTCTTCGTGGATAGGTGGTAGCGGTTGCTCGACCTCGACATCCATCGACCCACCAGCAGACCCTGACAGCTGCGAGCTCGACGACGAACGTGCGGGCTGGGCACTTGCGGCGGCTCGTTGGGGGTAGACGGTTGCGGTTGGTCGACGTCCATCGGCCCATCGGCCGGCTCAACGGCGGCTATGCAGCTGGCTCCTCCGGTTGGAAAAATGGCCCTCGGGGTGGCCGAAGAGCTTAACCCACAGCCCGTCCAAGTCATCGCCCTGCTTCCCCACATAGTAATCGCGTCCTCTGGTATGTGCACTATATTCATATGTGCCAACCTTGAAGGCGAGGAACAGAAGACATTGATGTCCTGAACATCTTGCTGATGGAATTTAAAGGTTCATATACTGTATTTCCTCAAAGACTTCATTACGTCCTTCGAAGAAGGGGCATATTAAGTCAACATGAGCAATAAACCAACGCTAGTCTACCTGCTTTCCCACTGTCTCGCTCCCGCCTTTTTTTTTCCCGTTTCCATCCGTTTTCCTGATGAAGACTCAGTCCGCACCCATCGACTTAAGGTTGGAATTTATCGAAGACAGTGGGATAAATTGCCCACATCCATCATCACATGGTCAGAAGCTGTCGACGTCCCTGGGTTCGGCAGCGTTTGCGCCCCCATCATTACATGGTCCGTGGAGGACAGTGCCGACGATACTGGGCTCGGCGGTGCATGATCCGGTTGCTCGACGTCCGTCCACCCATGAGATGGTCCCGACGGCGACGAGGCCCATGGCGGAGGTGCGGCTAACGATTCGTCAAAAAAACGGTGGCCATAGAGGTCAAGCCACAGCTTGTTCAACTCGTCGTCGCCTGGGATCGGCGGTGCATGGCCCGAGCTAGCCACTTGCGATGGTTCTTTGTGGATAGATGGTACCTGTTGCTCGATGTCCATCCACCCATGAGCGGGCCCTGACAGATGCGAGCCCCACGACGGAGGTGCGGCCAACGATTCGTCGAAAAAACGGTGGCCATAGAGGTCAAGCCACAGCTTGTTCAACTCGTCATCGCCTGGGATCGGCGGTGCATGGCCCGGGCTAGCCACTGGCGATGGTTCTTTGTGGATAGATGCTACCGGTTGCTCGATGTCCATCCACCCATGAGCGGGCCCTGACAGATGCGAGCCCCATGACGGAGGCGCGGCTAACGATTCGTCGAAAAAACGGTGGCCATAGAGGTCAAGCCACAGCTTGTTCAACTCGTCATCGCCAGGGATCGGCGGTGCATGACCCAGGCTAGCCACTTGCGATGGTTCTCCGAGGATAGATGGTGGCGGTTGCTCGACGTTCGGACCCACATCAGTGGGTCCCGACAGCTGTGAGCTCGACGACGGGCGTGCGGCTGGCGGCTCCTCCGGTCTTGCGGGAGGACGGCTCTCGGTGCCAGTGGGGCCGAAGAGCTTAAGCAGGATCTCGTCCACATCATCGCCCCGCTTCCCCAACATAGTCATCGCATCGTCGGTTATGTGCACGACATGGACACCTGCTTGAGATTTCTGTTGTACTAGCACAGGCGCTGTGACAGCGAAGTCGATGATGGGAAGGATGAGAAGGATTCCAGAGGCTATGCAGTATCGACGCATTTTCGTTGGGTGTGTTGATGGCGTTGCGTTGGGTAGTCAATATTAGCGCTCAATATGTTCAATGGTCAAAATAAAAAGTCCAGAACAAATGAAAGTGGGCTGGTAAAAAAAAACGGAGAAGGTATTGATTAGTGGATGAAAAGTGAAGGGAAAGGCACACGCACTATCCAGCACCCAATAACGTGAATTGAAGTAAGAAAGAACCTGGGAAAACTTGTAGAGTGGACATGATTTTATATCAAGTTTTATATCTGCATGCGCCAACATTGAAGGCACGAACAGAGGTCATTGATGGACGCAACACAGGATCAGTGTGTGAGATATAAAAAGCATCGCATTTGAGAAACGAAACGCAGATCACTTTGGCACCTATGTTGAATTTGCTTCATGATCAAGCTCGATCAAGGTCTAGCCTAGTCAACGGAGTGTTCCGGGTCCACCTTGGCGGAAAGGCCAAGGACGGTCCGGCGGTTTCCCCAGGTCCTTTCCAGGGGCACAAATTTGGTCTGCGATTATGAAAGTTTATCGTACTGAACACTTGCGGTGTATCGTAAAGAATACCGAATTTTCAGTTTCTGACAGTTGAACAAAAGATTGGGTGAGTATCATGCGGATACAGTAGTACCTACTGGCAGGCCGCTTGGAGTTTGTCCGACACCTCGACCTCCGAGTCCGCACAAGACGACTGGCGAATGATTTGACGACTGTTCCGTACGTTCCGTCTTTACAGGCACCCATCCTGCAGCCCTCTCGCCGGCTCTCTTCTTCCGCTTCGGACCTTGGAAGACAAAGATCAGCCCTTGCCTCGACGGCACAACACTAGCATACCCTTCATATCGTCCCTTAGCTCCGTTTCATAGTTACCGACACTTTTCTCTTTATTCTTCTTTGACATATTTTCATACCGTAGCGATAGCGCGCACGTTCACTCGTTACCGGTCCTTACTATCGCTGATGCACGCGCTCGTAGGGACTACTATCATATATATAAGCCTCCCTCACTTGCCGAGGCAAGGCAAGGCACTATTTCCGAGTCTAATCTAGTGTGTCTCATTTTCCTTTCCTCTTCGTATGTCTCGTTTCAATCCCTTCTCCCGGCACTCGCGTTCACGTGGAACCGCTGTCCACGATGCGTCTGTCACCCTCGTCTCTCTCTCTCTCTTTTATCTAATCTCCCTCCCTCTTTCTTCTTGGACGACACTCCAATCTCGCAGCCTCAACATTAGCTACAATGGTAGCGGTTGCTCGACATCCGTCGACCCATCAGAGGGCCCCTACATCTGCGAGATCGACGGCGGACGTGTGGCTGACAACTCTGATGGAAAATGGCCCTCGGGTTGGTCGATGAGGTTAACCCACATATTGTTCAACCCATCCCCTACGCTCAGCGGTGCACGGTCTGAGCTGGACGCTAACGACAGCGGCTCTTTGGAGATAGACGGTAGCGGGTTGTTGACGGCCATCGACCCACCAGCGAGCCCCGACGGCTGTGAGCTCGACAACGGATGTGTAGCTGACGACTCCCCCGACTTTGCGAAAAAATAGCTCTCGGGGCGGCCGAAGAGCGTAAGCCACAGCTTGTTCATCTCATCGTCTGGGCTCGGCGGTGTAAGATCGGAGCCGGGCACTTGGGACGGCCCTTCGGGGCTAGACGGTAGCAGTTGCTCGACATCCATCGACCCACCAGCAGGCCCCGACGGCTGCGAGCTCGACGTCGCCGACGACGGATGTGCAGCTGGCGACTCCTCCGGTTTTGAGGGGAATTGGCCCTGAATGAGGTCACGCCACATCTTGTTCCACTCATCGCCTATGCTCGGCGATGCATGGACCTGGCTGGACACTGACAACGGCTCTTCGTGGATAGGTGGTAGCAGTTGCTCGACATCCATCGACCCGCCAGCGGGCCCCGACGGCTGCGAGCTCGACAACGGACGTGCGGCTGACGACTCATCCGGTTCTGAGGGAAATTCCCCTGAATGAGGTCACGCCATATCTTGTTCATCTCATCAGCTAGGCTCGGCGGCGCGCGGTCGGGCTGGGACTTGCGGCGGCCCGTTGGGGATAGATGGTAGCGGTTGGTCGACGTCCATCGACCCCTCAGTGGGCTCCGGCGAGCTCGACGGCGGATGTACGGCTGGCAACTCCTCCGGTTTTGAAAAAAAATAACTCTCGGGGTGGTCGAAGAACTTAACCCACAGCTCATCTAAGTCACCGCCCCGCTTCCCCAACATAGTTATCGTGTGCATCACGTCGATGCGTGCTTGAAGTTTCTCTCGTACTAGCACAGGCGCCGCGACAGCGAAACCGATGATGGGAAGGATGAGAAGGATTCCAGATACTATGTAGAATAGACGCATTTTTGTTGGGTGTGTTAATGGCGTTGCGAGTCGAGTATACAATGTGAGCGCTCGATATGTTCAATTGTCAAAACAAAAAGTCCAGAGCGAACGAAAGTGAGCTAATAAAAAATTGGAGAAGGTAGTGATTAGCGGATGAAAAGTGAAGGGAATACACACGCACTATCCAGTACCCAGTAACGTAAAGT